ACATCTGGTGAAAATTTCATGTCATTAGCACCTCTAGTAATWTATTTACTGAGAAAAATGGTGACGTGTTCAATACTTATTTTACCCGCTGCATTTTTGCATTAAAATCTCTTTTGTCACTACGTGCCCTAATCGTTCTTCAGCAACGACAAGAAAAAAAAAGAAAAAAGAAAAAAAAAACGCAACAGAGCCAAAACTATCTTTATCTCTTCGTTTGTCTACCGGGGCGATGATATTTTCATTTGACCTGAATCTCGTCGGAAATCAATATCCATCCCCAGTKTCAAATCAATAAAGAGCGGAGTTTCACCTGGTTTAACTTTGTCTATCTGTTTCATGGAAAAGATTGGCCCAAATATTGTGAAAAGTTGACACACATAGACTGCTTTGTAAATACACACACGCAAATACAAGTTTTACTACTCAGCAGTCGGCTCTTGGTCTGTTGCACAAGAAGCTCAACAGTCCTGACAGTCCTGATCTGGTGCGTCTGTGGACAGATGCTTTCAGCGTGTCCCACCTGTTGTCCCCTCATCGCAGACTAGCATACACCCGCATACATATGCAGAGACGCTGTAAACACTGATGACAAAAGGGAAAATAGAGCTGAAGGTGTTTACCTGTGATGCAAGGCTGCCTTTATGAGGACCAGTTTGAGGTTTTATTCTGACACTGAGGTCTTTTTTTGAAAAGTGGACACATTAAACCAGTCTTCACCCTGAAACTGATGTTCAAAGAAATGTTAACAGATGGGTTCAGGTCGTGAGATTAGGACTGCGATAAAGTTTTGATGCTATAGCATAAATAGGGCTGTGTATTGGCAGGGATTTGGTGACTTGATACATAATCTGAAGTAGAATCTCTTTATTTTACCAAGTATGTTACACATACAAGGAAACTGACTTGGTGAAAGGACAGGTGTAAGCGCACAGTAAGTTGACAGGATATCACGACACAGCGGTCACAATATGATATCGTGATATACTGCCATTTTTTGTCTCCAAAAGATTCAAATTTTTAAAATAATTTAGTATAAAGAGTATAATGTGCATTATATTGTTAATGTCTGAATAAAATCAGTTTTTTTTAATGCAATCTTTAGGAAAAGTGATGTCAGTGAAATGTARATTTGGTGACAGGGTCCAGTGTTTTTCAACCCTGGTCCTCAARGCACGCTGTCCTGCATGTTTTAGATGTTTCCCTGCTTCAACACAGCTGATTTCAACTGATTACTTTTGTTGAACTGCAATCATCTGAATCAGGTKTGTAAGAGCAGGGAAACCTCTAAAACATGCAGGGCAGTGTGCCTTGAGGACCAGGGTGGGGAAAGACTGCTTTGAGGGCRCATGTCTTTGCAAATGAAGTAAATCCCTGACTGTGTTATCTTAATTGTATGAGTTAACGATGGCGGCAACTTCGGTGTTTGAACTTTAAGAGTTAACTGAGCAGAATCCACTCGCTTCACGTTAGCTGCTAGCTGTACATCGCTGTGTCGAGCTAACGTTTACTCACAATGCTAAYGGTTGAACTTCTCAGGGTTCTCGGGGTGTGAAGTTCAGTTATCCAGAAGAGAGACTCAGAATAGAGTCGCTGCTCCTCCACATCGAGAGATGGCCGTTTAAAATCAGACGGACGACGTAGAACTTATTGTGTATTGTAATAAAACCACAACATCACAAAATAATAAGACTACAGTATATTGCTCAAGCCTAGTTAACTTCAGGGTGGACAATCCTGGTCCTCGAGGCCACTATCCTGCAGGTCTTCTATGTTTCTCTGCTCCAACACACCTGATTTGAATGAATTGGTGATTAACAGGCTTCTGCAGAACATGAAGAGGTAATATAAAATAATCACTGATAGAGGTGCGTTGGAGAAGGGGAACAAGTAAA